TTTTATCAGTGTCGAGGTTAGTTGCGTTGGTTAAGTTGGTTATTTGGTGGGGTGGATAGCGTTGGTTAGTTCTTATAAAATTCCTATATTTCATAAAGCCGTCAAGTGCGTCACATCAACGACGTCATACATATTAACGGCATTTTAGTAAGCAACCGTTTAACGGCAGTTTAAATACAGCCTTTCTTATATTTCATTGATCAACTGTTTTTTTAAACAGTATGTCCCCGGATTGTCTTTTGTCTGTAGGAAAAACTTTTTTATTATTGACATTTTGAGATAAAACGCATTCTTCATAAAACATTTTGCTTGCTCTAAAATTGTTAATCTCGTTTATACTTTTCCAAAATTCCATACCGTTTTAGAGAAAATTAAAAAAAAACATGAAAAAAGTCATAAAAATCAAAGGGCGTTTTTATGGTAATATCATTCCTATTTCATTCATTGTATTTTTGACTGTTTTAAAATGTTAAAGAAGCAAAAAAAATATTTAGTTCCATGCCGGAAAAGGGTGATAAATAGTTATCGGAAAATGTGATTTTAAAGGAAGAAGTGAAGTTTAACAACAGCAAAAATATGACGTTAATAAAAATTAATAAGAACAATCTCTCAAAGAATGAAATCAAAGTGATATGACCATAGAAACCCCCGCCTTTTGATTTTTAGGATTTTTCTCTTAAACGGTATGGAAATTTGGAAAAGTATAAACGGGATTAACTATTTTAGAACAAGGAAATTTTTTTATGAAGAATGCATTTTCCTTTAAATGTCAATAATAAAAAAAGTTTTCCTCTTGTGAAGACAATCTGGGGACATACTGTATATTTTACTTTGTTTAACGTTCTGTCAGTTATTAATTGTTATTAAATATTTTTGTAGTGTTAAAAAAACTATAAATTATTATAGTTGAAGGTTCCGGGAATAAAACTTGATAAACGCCAATTTTTTAATTTTAGGTTTACACTATTATAGTGGGTCTAAATGGTCCCTACAAAATGTATAATCTCTACAGAGCAATAAGTTGTTAAATCCTATGGCATGTGCCTAGTAAAATATAGCATACAAGGAAAGAACCTAATAACCACCAGCCGTCCAGTGCTCTCCTGTAAAATTACCTTCAGTTGGAATGTTAAATTTGTGAACCCAAAAATGAAATATATTCTTTTGAATTCAGAAAAATAATTTTATGTATAACCGTTGTATGCAATACTTAACAACAACGTAAAAGATATTATAAAAAAATAATTTTATTCAAAACTTATTTTTTTTTCTGTCCAAAAGCCATAATAACTACGTCTGTGAAACGTCACGTTAAGGCATACGTGATGAAATCGGCACGTTAGTAGTTAAGGGTTTATACAAAATAGTAAATTTAAAAATAGAACACTATTTCAGGAAGAAAAAAACAAAAATTCAATAATAAATTAACTCTAAAAATATACTGTTCTGTTAAAGATATCAACAATGAATAATCGCATTTAGAAAGACAGTAATTACTAAAAATTAAATAATTCATAATATAAAAACTTTAACACTGGACAGAAAGTAATTTATCATTAAACTTTTTACACACATAATTTAGCAAGAAAATGTAAATAATCATGAAATATACACAATACTTAAACAACAGTTTGCTCTGAATAATTTTCCATTAGTAGTGTAATTCCAGTGTTATCCTCTTTCGTTATTTATAGATAGTTAGTCAGAATTACTCGCCTTATATAGAAAGTCAAGTGCCATAAATACGTATTATGCATATCTATTTATTCATGCAAATATACAGGGTGTTCCTGGCTTAACTTGCATTAGCAGTTTAAAAAAAGAGATCTTTAAAAATTAGCACCAAAAACTAACCAATGTCATTTTTATTTCAAAAATGAAATTATTGAGAATATTTTTCGTGAAGCTGCTATATTTATTTTTTTAATTTAATTTTTCTCAGTAGACCATGATTATGTACCATATAAAATTATCATCGATAGTCATTCCCCAGCCACAAACACGGCTTTGTTTGACGCCTTTTTGACACCTTACAAACTACAAACACCTTATAAATATTTCTGTATGATGTTTAATTATTGCATTGAATCACTTTTAAGAAAGTCTTTCATTTATGGCGAAGAAAAATCAATTATCTACAGTAAACCTAAATTTAGAAGAACATCTAAAAAAGTGAGGGTGATACATTAATGTGCAAAAAGATGTAGATATTATATTTCTGTAAGAATTGCTAAAGAGAACTCAGTAAGTAAAAGTATTTGTGTTACTAAAGTGGATACTGCAACGAACTACAATTTGGAAGATTTGTAAAGATCATTTATTGCCACTAACCATCAATAAAAAGAATAGTTGCTACTTAACTGCTGATATAGAAATTTAATTCTACGCTGTGTTTGTCATAATGTGGATGAACCTGCTCTCACTACCGGTTTCGGAGCCCTACTCCATCATCAGGTGAGCTTGGGTAGATCCACAAAATGACAACCACAGCGCAGAGAAGTTAATTCCGACTTGTCGGAAAGTATCGGTTAGATATTATGTAAGTCCCGAGCGGGAGATGGCGGCCTGCGTGCAATGGTAGTACTTTCGTACCACCGACTGAGGCGCAACTATCGATAGTAAAAGGATGGTAAAAGGTTTTTTTTCAGGCAAGGCAAATTATAAAATAGAAAATACATTTCTTGCAGTATAGGCATATGTATAATAAAATTATATAAAAATTCTTGCCACTTAACTGCTGATATAGAAATTTAATTTTACTTAATTTAATAAATAAATTGCCACTCTTAAGTGGCAAGAATTCTTATATAATTTTATTATATACCTATACTGCAAGAAATTTCTTTTCTATTTTATAATTTGGCTTGGCTGAAAAAAAGCCTTTTACCATCCTTTTACTATCGATAGTTGCGCCTCGGTGGTACGAAAGTACTACCATTTCACGCAGGCCGCTATCTCCCGCTCGGGGTTTATATCTAAGCGATACTTTCCGACAAGTCGGAATTAACTTCTCTGCGCTGTGGTTGTCGTTTTGTGGATCTACCCAAGCTCACCTGATGATGGAGTAGGGCTCCGAAACCGGTAGTGAGAGCAGGTTGATCCACATTATGACAAACACAGCGTAGAATTAAATTTCTATATCAGCAGTTAAGTGGCAAGAATTCTTATATAATTTTATTATTAATAATAACAAAACCTTCAAATTTACAGATCTTTTTATTTTCAGTCTCGAGAATGTTTGATTAATTATTAGTTGTTTATTAATTATTTACAATAATAATAATTATTATAATTATGCTTATTTGTATTTTGCAACAATTATTTGGTATATAATTACATTATTAATTACATATTTACAACATGATAATATTTTTTATGGTAATTGGTAATATTTTCAAATTTATCAGTCTGGTTAGGTTAGTTAATAATTTTTTCAAAATTATAATCTGTGGCATTATTTTGCAAAATCACTTTATAAATATCAAATAAAAAATACCAAACTACTAAACAAATTAAAAACAATAAGCAGAATTTCAAATTTAAATAGAGGTCATGTTATTTGCAGTTTGGAAATTTTTGATTTCGTTCTTTCTAATATTACATTACTGTTACACATTTATGTTTTATAGTAACCCATTCTGTTCGCAAAAATAAAGTGTTTTGTTGGATTGTCAAGTATTGTGGTGAATTAGTGTTTTATTTATTTTATAATGCTGTTAACTCAAACGGTTTTAACCATAGAACATAGAACCCCTGCTTTATTAAGTCTATAAATTATCATTATACTTTTGTGTCATTTTAACCTATGTTATTATTACATGTATTACTAATTTTACTAATTATTATTGTAGAGAGAAATTCCCTTCCGATACACGAATAGACATCCGCAAAGTTGGTAAGACCGGTATATACATAAAAATGTTTTAAAACCATTACACAACAATGTTTTAAATTAAAAAAAAAACGATAAATACTAAAGAAAATCTGAATTTCTAAATATGAATCGTTTCTCGCGACGATATCAAAAAATGTGTTTGGATCTACAGCGATTTTGAAAATAAGGAGTAATGTTTCTCGATTTTGCTATATTGAAAATCAGAAAATGACAGTCAGACGTGTATTCTCTATGAAATTATAGTATTATTTATCATGTGACAAATTTTCAAATCAGGGAAAATAAGGGCAAAAGTTTTGTAATTTTTGTAATTTTCAAGACGACGCGCGACACCAGACCCATTTGCCAATTTCGTAAATCAACCCGATTTGCTTTTGTGTTTATAGTTTATTATAGTATCAAATGATACGTTTCATAAGGGTTACGGATTCCAAAAATCTGTCAAATTTTTGCATCCGCAAATTTTCAGCCTGATTGACTTTCTACTTGGGATGCGTCAGACTATTATTTCAATTAATAAAATTATTTACTTTAATAAATGTCAAATATTTATGACTGGAAAAATAAGTGGACTTTTTTTAAATTTTATCTAGTGAACCTATGCATTCGAAAATGTTAGCCAGATTCACAAATTGTCATTTAATGTCACCATATTGTCATTTAACATATTCACCCACTGGGAAAATAAGTACAAAAAAATTCACTGCCTCCTGGGGTATAATACTGAAACTTATTAATTTTCAATATTAAATGTATAGGACTTATGTATAAGAAATTCAATACTGAATATTTTATATATTTATGTCACTTTCCCTAGCAATATGATAATATATAATTACAAACCACCAACAATAGACTTGTCTTATTCATTCTGATTATATTGTGTCATTTAAACATGTTCGGTTCGTCATGTCGTGTACTTCGATATAAATAGTAATTACGAATTGCTTATTATCGCGTTTTTTCTTCAAAACGTGTAGGTTGTATATATATTTATATATTTTCAACTTTCAACGGTCAAGGATAGCGACAAAACTGTAGGTCGATGTTTATGTATACCTACGATATTAAAAATTAAAATGATATAAAAACATCATTTACTCACCACATCGTCTTTCGAATCGGCTTCCACAAAGATGTTTGTTAATGTTGGGGGATGAGTTTCTGGCAAAATCCTCACCAATTCAACACCAATTCCTTGCTAAAAAGAAGACAGAATGTATCAAATACTGTACAATATTATAATAATATAAATCTTAAAATATATTTAAAATATCTCTTTAAAAACTCGACTTTTCTTAAAATTTACAAATCTAAAGACATGCCTAAACCTAAATATATGTATTAAAAAGCAGTTAACTATGAAATGAACAAGTATGTATAAGAACTACTATTGATTTAATTACATAGGTATATAATACTCGTATGTTCATAATTACTTAAGTGAACAAGTAGTACACAACAATTTAGTATTTAATTTACTGATTAGTAATATTCACTGCCAAAAATTGTTTCATATGATTTACTTAATTAAAGTTTTCGTTATTTTTTTAACAATAATTGAAGAAGTATGAAACCTATAAACAGGATTTAATGGAACCAAAGGTCTGAAACAAGGGTGCTGTATTTCACCAACACATCAAGATATATCTCGAACAAGTTCTCAAACGTTGGAAGCAAAAATGTAGAAATATGGGAGTACCATAGATTTAGGAAGAACAGATATCACATTATGCATTTTAACCCGATCAAACATTCGGAGGTTGACTACGTACTGTAAAAATCAACTGAGATAGAGAAGGCGACATTGCCACATATCAAATTTGCGCCTATCTACTTAGTTTGATTTGCAGAAAAGGTGACTTTAAAACCTTCACCGGATATCAATAAATCTCAATTTCTTAATTAAATTAATAGTTTAGTTTTAAAGAAGCATGCGTAATAATATGTTATTAACCAGAGGATATATGCGTTACTATTAAAAGACATGTTTACTATTTAATGTGCTGAAACGTCTAGAACTACTGGCAACGTCGCTGCTAGTCTTCCAGAATGAAATGAGCCGTCCGTCCCACCACCCCTCGCGACGGCCCATGGTCCGTTATAGCGTACTACGTCTAGCTTACGGTGTGTTTGAAGTCGGAATCAAGTCCGAAGTGAACTTTTCAGTGTTTTTCAGTAGTTTTTGTTTTTGTTTAATGTACTTTTGAATCTGCGAATTTTCAATATGGTACGACAGTGTCAAATGTGTGGACAAATAAGCTCAAATTACTCGAATTTGTCTTTTCACAGGTAGGCATTGCTTCCGCCGCGCCGTAATCGTACATAGGCGTCCCACAAGGGAGACTCTCACAATTAAAATAATTTCTAATTATATTTGTTAAATTTTGATCTATTAAAACAAGAACGTAGAAGCCGGTAATTGAATTATAATTCGTCTCAATTACTACCTAACTGTTGTAGATCATAACAAATTTGAATATTAACGTTACATTTGAAACTTTATTATAAGCTAGAAAGTGACATTTTTTTCTTAAAATTGCGTCCTATTTTGGTCATTATATACGATATTCTAAAGGAATTTTGCTCAATAAATAATCAAAGGTGTTAACCCGACCTATTTTACATTTTATTGCTTTATTATATCTGCCCCTTCGGCCTTGTTTAGACAATTGTTTACCACCGTACAAATACATCTTCCTAGAGTTATTTGTACGGTGTGTTCTTTTTTAGAATGGGACGAACTGTAAATAATTCTTAGGCTACTAGTTTTATACATACCTATATAGAGAGCGACCCAGGCCTCCAAAAAAGCTTTTTACGTATTACGTTTTTTGTTTGTGATTTTTATTTCAATTTTTTACATAAAATGGGGGCCATTGTAACGCACATTTTCAAAATATTTTTTTCAACATACAGGGTGATTCAAACCGCAATACATATGCTTAATACAGTTCATGAAGATTAGGATATTTAACTAAAATTTGATTATCTGATGAAGCTACCTTTAAAAGTAATGGATTTGTAAATAAACGTAACGGGTATTCATTATTATGCGACAGAAATCCCATACTGTAGCACACAGATTTTATACTTTTAATGATAAATGCCTTCTATTGCGAGACTAAAAGGCAATTGCCTCGTATCAGAGCCATCATAATACAAGAAGAAGACCGAAAGTCAAATCTTGTCTTATATTTTCAAAAAAAAAACACAATTTTCTCATTAAATATTGATTTTAGGTATAGGAAGTTATTAATAATACAAGATTAAACAACTATTACACAATACTTCACAGGAAGCTATCGATTGCGAACTAACTAAATCGTTACTAATTAGGTACTAATATTGAAAAGTTCTTTTTAAGATAAAAAAAGGTAAAACTAAAACCTAAACTATCATTTGAGATTAAACGGGAAGTTCTAAATAATGTTGCCTATTCTAAACAAGAAAAATTTATTTATAAGTTAAGTTTTATAACATTCCTAATTAAATTTGGGCGAAAAGAATATTTCTGTTTTCTGTAGGTAATTTTCTCAGGGAAAATACGTAAATAAAAATGACTTTTTAAAGCAAAAAAAGTCAAAAGGACAAGTTATTCCAAAAAAGGACTGTCCTTTTCAAAAAAGGACAAGTGGCAACCCTAGGTATTTCTGGAATGGAAATCTACAACTTTGGTTTGAAAATATGTTCCGGCCACCTATGTTTACAAAAATGTCTAAAATGTGCCTAAATGCCTCCATATTCTGAAAAAAAAATTGAAAGAAAAGTCACCAACCACAAACCTAATATAGAACTCTTTCGGAAGCATGAGTCACCCTGTAAATATTCAAAAGTAACTGAAAATCACTCCAACGTCGATTTTCAATTTAAACTTTCAGTTACTTCTATAAGTAACTGAAAGTTTAAATTGAAAATCGACGTTGGAGTGATTTTCGAAAACTACTAACGTTTCAACATAAGTATATGTGGGATATTAATTGTATTATTATATTAGACCTTATAACAAAACTCATCTGACGAAAAAGTGTTAATGTAGTATATTAATATAGAGTAAAAATTTTACTAATTACTTTACTTTTACTTTACTAATTAAATTCGTTCCAAAAAACGATACGCCACTGGCCATTAGAACAATCCCAAATGCGCCTAGTTGCCGGGGTCGGAAATTTTACACTTCTCTGTCTCTTCTGTCCTTGTTTGACACATTGGAATGTTTGATACACTACCAACGAGTATTTATGAATGAGATGTTCGGTCTATCTTTATAATGTCTTTGGGGAGTACCCATAGGGGATAACATGCTCTACACACTTTGCTTCGCGGACGATCAGGTGATCATAGCACAAGATTACGATGATATAAATTATATGACACGTAAGCTTATAGAAGAATATCAGAAATGGGGACTCGAGATCAATACTAACAAAACAGAATATATCGGAGGAGAACAACAAGATCTAATACTAGAAGAAGGGAAGAAAATTAAGTGCTGCACAAAATACAAATATTTGGGTATGCAAATCACAAATGATGGACTGTTGGATACAGCAATTAAAAAACGAAACCAACTTGGAAGGAATGCTATCACGGTATTAAATAGGATACTGTGGGACAGAAGCATAAACAACAAGAACAAAACACTAATATATAATACCATCATCAAGGGTATAACCACGTACAGCTGTGAAGTGTGGCCAATTAATGAAACAATAAAACGAATGCTGGAAGGTACAGAGATGGATTTTTGGAGAAGATCAGCAGGCAAATCAAGACTCGAACGAATAACTAATGAACGCATAAGAGAGATTATGGAAGTTAAACATACAATAGTGGACGAGATAAAGAACAGTCAACTCATATGGTACGGGCATGTCCAAAGAATGGCAGAAATAAGAATCCCAAAGCAAATTATAAATTGGAAACCTGCAGGAAGAAAACCGGGTAGACCGAGAAGAAGTTGGCAGGAAGGGATTGACACGTTTATTGAGGAAAGATCTCTCGAAGACGGTGCATGGAGAGATGGCATCGGAAGACGTAGAACGTTTTAAACCGATTAATATATGTAACCTATAAAACGATGTGTGTCAGTCAAATGAAATAAATTCGACAACAAATAAATGAAAGTGTGTTCGAAAAAAAGATTGGACCCGTCCGTCGCGTCGCGTCTATTGATGTTTGAAGTTGAGCATTTTTATCAAGAAGTCTCATTCACAGAACAGACTGTGTCTCATTCTTCAACAAGATTTTTAGAAATTATTTGCTTTTAAGTACATAAAAGTTTTAAAATAAAAACATCTTAATCAACTTCCACATTTACTAAATCTGATCTAGAATTAAAAAATCTATGTAACCTATAGTCTATCAACGAGAGAATACATGACAGTGACAGGTGCTTCTGTCATTTTTATTCACAGGTAATTTTTTGGATGTCGTCAGTCTAGGCTTTTTGGAGAGACTTTAGATTTTTAGATGTGTAAAATTAATACAAAAACCTCATATGTTCAAACTATCGCGTTAATTGTGTATGTGTATCTTACACCAAACGCATACGATCGAAAAAAACGGCGTCAAAGACGGCTAGGGAATAACAATCGCTGATAATTTTGGCGAGGTCAAACCCTAGACATAATTTACTTACTAGCACGTACTATTCTTTATTTTTTAATGGGGCTTCCTGCCAGTTGGCCTTAAGAAGGTTTTAATTTATTTTTATATCAACTAAAAATTATTTTTAAATGGTGTAGGTAGTTTAAAATTCGGGAACAAATATTTATTTGGAAATAGAGTTGGTGGATACCTATCCTTTCTATAATTAGTGTTAATTTTTGACAAGCTGTATGTCAATTTTTCGTAAATGGCGTCTAGAGATTGACCTCGCCAAAATGTTCATCGATTGTCATTACCCAGCTGTCCTTGATGCCTTTTTTTCTCGATAATACGGTATATATGCATAATATATTGTGTTTGTAAAAAATGTTTCTCCGGAAACGATACTCTGGTGAGTCTGAAATAAGTGCAAATATTTTCAGGGCTGGTAGATCTCGATAAAAAAAATATAATATTTTCTCCTTACCGTTTTTCAAATAAGTCCAAAATAACCGAGTTATTCAAGTATGAAAGTAAAAAAAAATATTTATTTTTAAAAAAATTTGAGAGCCACAGGATTTTTTCTTTATTTGCATCCCATTTAGTACCGTT